GTGCTTGCGGTGTTCGGCCAATCACAATGCACTGGGTCAGCTGGCCAATCAGAGCAGACTGCGCTTGTCGGAAGGAGGTACTTTGTAGAAAACGAAGCGTTTGAGAGAGTCGGGGCATAGAGGACCTACAATAATGTACAGTAGTTGAAAAATAATGTGTTTTTTGAACATTAAAGCATGTCAACATATTCTGTTACACCAAATACACAAAATAATGATATTTAAAAAAGCATCATGTGACCCCTTTAATGTTAAAATTAGTGCTTTTAATTTTAGTTATAATTCTTATTTTTTAATGAAAAATTACATAGCATTTACTGCAAAGTTATGAAAAAAAATATATACTGTATATATGTATATATATATATATATAAATATAAACGTAAACCTAAACATTTTTTGGCTTGCTAATTTGCATATTTTTCCAAAAGGTGGTAAAATGGTGAAGCAAAATGAATATTTCTCTATAAAACAACTGATTTTACACAAAACAACTAAAATTCAAAAATCACTCTCTTCTACTCAGTTTGAAAGACTGAAAACACCCATTTAAGCAATATAATTCCAAGTAATTTTCATTCATGTAAAGCTTAAAAATAGCATGTTGCATGTGTATTGACCTACATGAGGATGACAGCCTCCACACACACACACAAACACACACACACACACACACACACAACTTGATCTTACTGATGTACAGCCGCGCCACAGTGAACTCCTCCTCGATCGCACCGCTGATCTCCACCGGCTACACACACACACACAGATTACTGCAGTGACTAAACACACACACACACACACACGTGGCCGTGTCTCTGTTGTCCTGCTGCAGAAGCAGATCTGTGTGATAATTCCATTGTGTGGACGAATCTAATGACGCCTGTTGGTGTGTTATTAAGGCAGCACAGGGGTCATTAGGAGTGTGTGTGTGCGTGTGCGAGTGATATAATAAAAGCAGCACGCAGGTCATTAGGAGTGTGTGTTCAGTTGGTTCCCATGCTCTGAAGCAAAGCTGGACAGCAGGGCTGTGCTTTCACACACACATCATGGCACACGCCTGTTGACTGAGGCACAAAAAAAGTGTGTGACATCGCCGTGCCCTGGCGCCCCTCTGCATCCCCTATGTCTTTTCTCATCCCTCCCCTCCCACCCTCATTCTTTCTTTCTTTCTTTTGGGAATCTCTCTATCCGTCCGTCCCTCCCCAGCTTAGAGTCCTGTGTTCGAGTAGACCCTTCCTCTTCTAATCATTTTACCCATCAGATGATCCAGCCCCCTATTTCACACTGAGACTATTAAGATAGAGTCCTCCCCCTCTACACACACACACACACACACACACACACTACTGCAGGTCCTGAGGGACAGCATTGGAAGCATTGTGTGTGTAGAGACACATCTGCTTCAACACATATGTACACATTCAGACAGTGGCTCTCATATGCCCAGGTCATATTTCACCCCAAAATCTAAAGAAAATTTCATTATATATTTCATGTAATATGTTTTACATAATATTTTGAATAAACGGAGAATCCTGTTTTAGGACCATTCTGATTTTTTTGCTTTGCAAAATTATTTTAATGACAATTAGGCAATTCTAGTTTACACAATGGAAATAAGTAAATAAATAAAATAATTATCATTGCCATAATGCAAAAAAAAAAAAAATCATTATCATTACCATAATGCAGTAAGTAAATAAAATAATTATCAGTACCACAATGCAATAAGTGAATAAATAAGTAAAATATTTCTTATTACCATGATGTAAAAAATAAAATAATTCTCATTACCATAATGCAATGAGTAAATAAACAACTCTCATTACTGTAATGCAATAAGTAAATAAAATAATTATTCTCATAAAGCAAGAAATTTTCATTACCATAATGCAATAAGTAAATAAATAAATAAAATAATTCTCATTACCATAATGCAATAAGTAAATAATAAATCAAATAATTGCCATTACCATAATGTCAAAATAAAATAATTATCTTTAGCATAATGTTAAAAATAAAATAATTATCATTACCATAATGCAATAAGTAAATACATATGTATCATTACATAACAAAATAAGTAAATAAATAAAATAATGATCATTACCATAATGCAAGAAATTCTCATTACCATAATGCAATAAATAATTATCATTACCATAACGCAAGAACTTATCATTACCATAATCCAAAATAAAATAATTATCATTACCATAATTAAATAAGTAAATAAATAAATAAATTATCTTTACCGTAATGCAAAAAAAATCATCATTACCGTAATGAAAAAAAAATTCTTATTACCATAATAATTTTTTTTCTTATTCTCATTACTGTGATGCGATTTGTTAAAATGCTAATATGTTGTTTTAATATATTTGTATATCATTACAATGTGTATATATAACTAATATAATTGTAGTGTATTTAATGCTGTCACTTGTCAAGTCACCATTATTTATATAGTGGTTTTTACAATGCAGATTGTGTCAAAGCAGCTTTACACTATTAAACAGGGAAGTGTGTAGTGTGTCATATACAATAGTGTGTCATATTTGTAATTTATATTGATTTAAATGACCAGTTAAGCTCATTTCCATCCAGACTCTCATTACCATGATGCATTAATTTTATTAAAAAAAACTATTATGATTTTAGGGTGAAATAAGATTTGGACATTTCTTGATATTTTTCATAATATTCTCCCACATAGATGTGAACATGCACTGACACAAATACACACCTGTAAGTTTGAATGTTTTAGAGGTAGCAGAAATGTGTGTGTGTGTGTGTTGGTATCAGCTCTTATCTAGCCATGATATGACGGGTGTTTGATGGACTTGTACTCAGCAAATGTGTTTTCAGCCAATCTGTGTGTGTGTGTGTGTGTGTGTGTGTGTGTGTGTGTG